GTGTGTGTGTGTGTGTGTGTGTGTGTGTGTGTGTGTGTGTGTGTGTGCGTATTTTATACAGTATGTATATATTTTCTGTGTGTGTGTGTGTATATGCATGTACTATAGCTGTCTAGGGTATTGGGCTGCTGACTGAGGTTTACAGTACAGTGCTGTTGGTGGGCCAAAGATAAGCTTGGGGATTGCTGTGCTGCCAGGCCCTTTGCAGGAGCCATGATTAAGCATTTCTGTCAGAGTGTGTGTGTGTGTGTGTGTGTGTGTGTGTGTATATACAACCTTCTATACGTGTGTGAAGGGTTGTGTGTGTGAAACTTTGTTGCTGTGCTAGTAATTGTAGTTTGTATGACTGAACTCTGTTGGTTTGGTTTGACGTCTGCATCTCTGTGTGTATATTTCTATACATGTGTATCCATGGTGTTCTTCTATTGAGGGGTCTAAATTAATACTAAAACATTAAATCGATAAGTTGATCACTCATTTTAGAAATAATGAATCATCTATTTTAACAGAATTTTCTTAATCAAACAGAAATGCCAATTTTCAGGTCTTTTTCTTTTTCTCACACCATCATAAATAGTCTGCGCCTGAACCTCTTTTTAATCATTGTGGGTGCGCAGACTAATTCCAAGTTGATCACTTATTTAAGCCGAGAATATGGTCTGTGATGGCCTATTCCTGACTGAATGAATTCTCCATCATATTATTCTCATCCTGGAGCGCGTAGGTAACCTCGTAACCGCAAAATCCCCTGTTCGATGCCAGCCGTGTGACCTTTGTTGCATGCCATACACCCCCCCCCCATTTCCAGTCTTCCTGTACTTTCATCTCTCCGAAAAATGTCGAGAAAAGAATATTCTTAAAAACACTTTTTTTTTATTTTTTAAACTCTCCTAATGATTTCCATTGACCTCGTGGAAAAGTGGCTTGTAAAAGTGACAGGGGCTCAAATTTTGATGTAAGTCAATTCCCTCAACAAGTATTGCCAAGTGAAGCATTAAACCACCCTGGAGCCATGCTGGTACCCTGTGCCTTTCAGTAGAGCACAAAACAAAAATGCAAACACTGTCTGAGATATAATGTGCCATGAAAGGACTGAAAGTCTCACCAGGAAGGCCAATCTATTAGTCTGAGAATGCACATAGTGTGTGTGTGTGTGTGTGTGTGTGTGTGTCTCCACTAGGCTGCCTTTATCCAACAGTGCTCTTATTTTTGTACCCGTATCTGTTATTGATTCTCAGCAGCTGTTTCCTCTATGGTCCCGTCTATTTGGAACTACAATGAGCTGGCCTCCTCCATCAATACCTGCCTCACTCTGTCTAGACATCCAGACACTTGCTGGGGGTTCACATTCTTTCTACTCACGGTCCAACTGTATATTTCTTTTAAAAACTCCTCCCCTAAGTGCCATTGTACCTCACGTTTATTTGAGTTCTGTGCAGCCTTTGGACGTGTTGCATTTCTACCTCTGTACTTTATTTCCCCACCACCTCCCCGTCTCTCCCTCCTCCGTCTAAAGCCTGTGTGTTATGTTGTTAGCGGTGAACGGCGCTAATTTGCTTTCGCTGTGGTGAAGAAACAATCCGTCTCCCCGACCGCCACAAAGATACAGAGCCCCGGCTTCTGCTAAGTTGTGCCATTCTTTCCTGAGGGAACCCGATTACCTGGATGTTTATGGCCTCAGATGCGGCGCTTTAGGCTCCGCAGTGATGACTTCAGCTGGTTAGCGAGCTACGGTTGTGCACAGAAACAATAAGCTTTATCTGAACTGAGAGTCAGAGTAAATCAGGGGAGAGTGGGGGAGTTTATCATTTTAAAAGAACAGCAAGAAGTTTTTTCAGAAGGAAAAGTGTGTGTGTTTGCGGCACCATTTTCATAATGTATATACAAGAATGTGTGCGTGCATCTGTTTGAGGATTTGTGTGCTTATGGGTTTTTCTCTGTGGGTGTCTGTTTGTTTGACTCGTATCTACTTCAGCGTGTGACATTAATTAAATAAAATGGAAATGGGTGGCTCTTGCCTGGCTGCTAATGTGTACATTGTATAGATCTGCTGCTCCCAGCTGCTAAAACAAAAGCATCAAACAGCCGCAGGTGTCACAACTCGCTACAGAAGACGCACATAATTGGCATAAAACGTGCTGTTTCTAATTAGTTGTGACAAGAGTCGTTCCTCGCAGTGTGTGTTATCGACGTATCTGTACGTCTGTGTAAACATAGCTATTTTCCCTCTCTCTCTTTCTGCTGCAGGCATGTCGATGTTGCGGCCGAGTGAAGACCAGGCTCCGGTCCCACAGAATAAGTGCATGGGTGACATCGAGGATCTGGCCGCCAGCTATGAACGCAAACTCATAGAGGTGAGTGCCGCCTCTGTTAGTTCTCTGCCGCGTATCAGCGATGATGCAGGTCAAAGGAAGTGCCACGGTTCTGTATTCCAGATTTTCATTTTGCACAATCATCTCAAACTGGAGCGTTGTGAAACAATTTTAAGGAACTATTTGCAGCATTTAAAGGTACAGTTCAGCATTTTGGCAAATACTCTTAGTCACTTTCTTGCTGAGAGTTAGAGTAGAAGATTGATAGCTTAGCTTAGCACAAAGACTGGAAGCAGGGGGGGAGGGCTAGCGGGAAGCCTGGCGAGTTCAGGTTGACATTGACCAGGTTAAAATATATAATTCTGCACATATCTCACTGTAAAAGAAACAAAAACACAAAATTGTTGCTTTTACATTTCAGTTTGTGTCCGGTTTAAACAAACAAGAGTCAACATGTTAATTAAAAGTTCTAGTTGGCGGATTTATTTATTTTTTGACTTTGGACAAAGCCAAGCTAGCTGTTTACCCCTTTTTTTTCCAGTATTTATGCTAAGCTATGCTAACTGTCTGCTGCCCCTAGCTTCATTTAGCATACAGACACAAGAAACGTCAGTCCTGTTTCCCTAAAATGTGAAAAATATCTTTATG